GGCACAAAACAACAACGACAAAGACATTGTCCTCCATTCTACTTTGGTGAGTAGGGACTGAAATCTTTAAAGCTTATAAGGGATCATCTAAGTTGTAACTATTGGTCTCATCCCATCTATAGCAAAGAAGTTTAAAGAAAAATTTAAAAAATGCATAGAAACCATTAGTTTAAAACTAATTGACCACATGAACCTCAGCCTAAATGGCACTGAAGCCAGAGAACTAAAGGACTATCATCTCACTTGAATAAAAAGAAAAAAATTCAAGCACGTTGCCATTTAGTCTGAGCCTCTAGCATTGTTTAATAAGACATCAAACAACAAATGTTGGAGAGGGTGTGTAGAGTTTGAAATTCTCTTACACTGCTGGTAAGAATGTAAAATAGCAACCACCATGTAAAGCAGGTTAACACTGCTTTCCAAAATTTGAAATAGAAACACCATTTGATCCAGCAATTTCATTGTTGTTATTTATTAAGTGCCATCAAATCGACTAGGGCTCCTTGGGATGCTATAAAACAATGATCTGAACCCTATCCAATCCTGTGACTTCCTCATCCCTAATATATACAAGCTCATTTTTACAGTTCCTTTGTAGCTCTATTTGTTGAAGGTCTTTCTTTCCTTCACTCCACTTTTCTAAGCATTATGTCATTTTCCAATGTCAGGCCCCTCCTAATAACATGCCCAAAGCATGTGGAAAAAAGTTTCACCATATTTGCCTTTAAGTAGCGCCCTGGCTGCATTTCCCCCTGGATACATATCTCAAAGAAATAAGAGCTATAATACAAACTAACGTACTCACACCCATGTTTATTGCAGCACAATTTATAATAGCAAAACATTGGCAGTAACCCAAGTGTCCATCAAAGGAGGAATAGTGAAGGAAACTTTAGTACATTCACACAATGGAGCATTATTCACAACTGAAAAATGATTAGGAGTTTGTGAAATACTACACAACCTGGATGAAATTAGAGAGGCTTAAGTCATTTACAAAAGGAAAATTATGGTAAAAACTACTAATATAAAAATCAAAGGAAAGGTTTATACACAGAACCCTTGGAGGGTTAATAGGGATGAGAAGGAATGGAGAGAGGAGCAAAACATTTAAAAAATGAGATATTTGTTGCATTTCAAATTTAAAAAAAAATACTCCTCAAAACAATAATAAAAAGAAAACATAGGAAGGATAAGAGTGTTTCATTGTGGGGATTGCAACAGTGTCAGAATTAAAATGTTCAGTGTGTGTGTGGATGTGTGCTTTGAGTGAAGGCTCACAGAGGAGTCAGTTTTCCATTTAGTCATTCATATCAATTCTGTTTCATGGCGTTAATGACAGTTCCCACATTGTAGTAGCACTCTTTATTCTTCCCGCCTGTGATTCTCATTTCAATCCTTCTTTCTAATCTATCCCTTGAGCATTCTCCCTAAGCAAATACTGCCTTTTGGATTTTTGATATACTGATTAAGGAATGAGGGTGCTCTGGTAGCCTAGTGGTGAGAGACTTGCACTGCAATCCCAAAGGCACATGCTTTGACTCCATCTCTCCTCCTGTGTGATTAACAGCTTCTTAAAACCTGCTGGAGGGTCAGCTATGGGTTGGTTCTGACTCGATGGTACTCGACTACAACAAAGGATGAGTACTTCTCTGGTGGTATTTATTTACCTTATAAACATGTCTAGTGTTTGGCTGAATGTTGACAAGGATGAGTTTAGTCCCAGATTCCAGTGGTTACTAATGACCAGAGCTCCAGGGGTTCCACCAGTCTTTATTAGACCAAGATGTCTGGTCATTCTTGTGATTATTTTGGTTTTGTTCCACATTGTCATTTCATCTGCCCAGGACCATCTTCTGCAATCTCTTTCACAGCAGTCGGTGATAATAGCCAGGCACCATCTAATCCAGTTCTTCAGGTCTCAAGAGAGTGGAACCTTACGTGTGTGTGAGACAGTAATCCTTTAGACTATTAGTTTCTATGCCCCTTTGATTTTCCTTCTCTCTTCTTTTTTTCCAGACAGGAATAGACCAATTGTTGTAAAATTGTGTGTATGAACTGTTGAAAGGAAAATCCTTTTGCTTTGTAAATTTCCCCCCTATTTCTACCTTTTCCATAAAGACACACACACACACACACACACACTTTAAAAAAAACAAAACAAAACAAAGCCTGAAATGGAATTTATTTTTGTGGCTCATTTTACAATAAATATGCCACGAAGTGAACCCAATAAAAAGCTTACTGAGAGGTGGAAAAAAGATTGACTTTGTCAAAGATTTAATTTTTAACTTCGATCCACAATCAATTTCATTTTACTTAGATATTCATGGAAGTATTAGGCCAAGAAATCAAGTATATTGCATTGGCAAATCTACTACAATGGACCACTTTAAAGTCATTAAAGAGCAAGGATGTCACTTTAAAGCCTAATGTTCACCTGATTAAAGCCATCATATTTTTCAGCTTCTTCCTATGGGTGTGAAAGTTGGACAGTGATGAAGAGACACCCAAGAGGAATTGATGCCTTTGTGGTATATGCAAAAAATATTGAATATCCCGTTAGACCAAAAGACCAACCAAATTTTTCTGGGCTGACAGCCAGAGTATTTCTTTGATGTGAGGATGTGATAGTTCATCTCACTTTGGGAATGTTAGTAGGAGGGGCGATCCCTGGGGAAAGACAACATGCTTAGTGAAGTAGGTTTGTGAAAAGGGTGAATCTCAGCAAGATTGATTGTCATGAGTGCAGCAATGGGCTTTAAGCCCTGAGAAGACTGTGAGGGGCATTGCTTCCTTCGGTTGTGTATAGGGTCACTATGAGCTGGATGTAAGTTGATGGCACCTAACAACAACACAAAGCGTGCAATAATCTCAAGGAGGTATGCACTCCTTAAAACAATAATGTATTAAAAGAAAAAAAGTGTTGAGGCCTAAGGCGTACCTAACTCAAGCCATAGTGTTTCTAATCACTTCATATGCATACAAAACTGGACAAAGTCACTGATTCATTTGAATGATGAAGATTGCAGAGAATAACGAATATACCATGGACTGACCAAAGAATGTACAAGTCTTGGAAGACACACAGTGGAATGCTCTTTAGAAGTGATAACAGTGAGACTTGTGTCACATACTTTGAACATGTTATAGGGAGAGACAAGTCTTTGCAGGAGGACATCATCCTGGGTTAAGTAGAAGGCCAATGAAAAAGAGGCCACTTAAGGAGAGTGATTGACATAGTGGTTTTTACAATGGGCTCAAACACAGAGGTTATTGTGAGGATGGCACAGGAGCACTGCGCTGTCTTTCTGTTGTAAATGGGGTCATGCTGAGTTAGAACTGATTTGGCAGTCAACTCACCACCACAACAGCAGGGTTGTGATCTGAACATTTTCACTTCTAATTAATGGGGTGGAGAGCTTTGGTGGCTTAGCGGTAAGGAGTTGTACTGCCAGTCCAAACACATATGGTTCAAATCCACCAACTGCTTGATGAGAGAAAGATGTACAGTCTCCTGCAATGCGACTTACTGCCTCTGAAAACACAGTAGAGGATCAGCTATAGATCAGTTCCAACTCAATGGTACATAACATAGCAACAACTAGTGGGCAAGGAGATATGCAGCCAACCAAGAGGCAGCTGGTTCAAATGGACCAGCTGCCCTATGGGTGAATTTGGGCAATTTCCTGTGCAATTTACAGCCTCTGAAAACTCATCGCAGGGTCAGTCTGTTCTGACTGGATTGCAATGAGAAAGATGAGAATGAGTTTCTACCCAAAACTGATGTTGTGGAGCTGGGGACCACACTTTGAGGAGTATGGCCCTAAAATTTTGTCTTATGCTTATTACAAACAAACAGTTGTTGAAATCATATGGCCATATTGCTAGAAAGCTGACATTTAAAGCTTATTATTCTGTTTTACTATAAATTCCATAAGAACATTTTCAATACTTCAGAAGAAAAACAAGCTAGTATTTTCTGTTAAAGACTACCATTTTTCCCTGTAACTTTGGTTTATTCCTATCCAATATACACTTTTGGAGTTATTTTTAAAGTAAAATTATCTTATGCTCTAAGATGTGTAAATTGTATGCTGTAGAGTTGGAACCGACTCATAGCTTACCATCCAGCAGGTTTTTATAGACAGTAAATCACATGGGAGGAGAATTTGCACCCTTCTCTAGTGGATTTGAACTACATACTTTTGGGATTGTAGCACAACTTCTCACCACTACTTTCTGTTTTCCAATTTATACTGGGTCTCTTTAAATTTAAAAGAGACCTTTTATAATAATTGTGTCTAAAGCAATAATTCATTTAAATATTTCATTTTATATTCCAGAATTGATATTTTTTCTGAAACAACAATTATTTCATCACTTATATGTGAAGAAAATGAAAGTACCTTTGAAGATAGAATTTCTTTTTCAGATGACGTCATTTCAGACAACAATAGTGAAAACGGATACCAAAGCAGTCACTTGAGTGAAAGTCATATGCCATCATCATATGAGACTATTTCACCTTTGCCATTAATTCATTCTGAAATAAAGGAAAGCTTTCAAAGACACAGAGAAAGTCCAGAAAAGAAAGGTCAAACAGTACAATTTTCATCAAAGAAGCTATTTTCAATAATGAAAACCAGCAAACAGAAAAATGTAAAGTGTCCTACTGACCTTTACTTTTCAAGAACACCTAGATTAGCTGTGCAAAACGAACGTCCAGATGTGACCCCGTGCCCTCTTGTCCACTTATATCTTTCCAGAGACCAAGTTAGAATTCTAGAAGAAAATGTGAGAAGTCGAACTCTTTTAAAAGTAAAAGCTATATTAAAGAGTAAATATACTTCAAGATCTCAAGCATGCTTGATTCATGATCAAAAATCTGTTAGAATGAGTATTTCTACCCCATCACAAGATCCTTGTTTAGGACAAAATGCTATTGATAATCCATTCCAACAGTTGGTTCAGAATGAAGAATCAATCAACAGCCAGTCTGCTGTCAAGGTGAGATTCTTACCTCAACCTCAAAATTTGATGAAGAAACCAACTCCCAGCAGCACACAGGCCTCCTTCCAGGTTCGAGGTATGGCTAGGAGCCAACATTTGATCAAAGTCCCATATTCTGTGGAGACTCAAAATTCAATCCAGAGCCGAGTATCTGATAAAGAAGACTTAGAGGAAGCTCAATATTCTGTGTGGTTTGAAGATTCAAATAAGAATAAATATTTAGTCAAGGGACAAAATGCCATTCTTAAGAATGCTGGATTTCTAGTTTTAACCCCAAGCCCAAATACATTTGCTGATGAGAAAATCCAGTTGAAAGGTATAAAGCCAGATGGCATGCAGCAAGTTACTTCATCCAAGGCAAACCAGGATTCTGTCCATAGCTTGGTGTCTCTTTCACCAACTATAAAAGGGCAGAAGAATAGAAGAAAAACATCAAAAAGCAAGAATAAACTTAGCCACAAAGTTCCTTCTCTAAAGGCAAAGAAAACTTCAGGTTCACGGGTATTTCAAGTCACAGGACATCACACTTTAAAAAATACCAAGGAGTTAGGAAGCAACAGTAACACTGAGATGAAAGGATTACACAAAAATGAAGATATATCAGACTTAGCTTTACATCTTATTTGTGTTTCCAAGTTTGTTCCGCCTAACATGAAAAAGTCTTTCAGGAAAAAACTAGTGAACGTCATACCAGATTTAACAAAATGTAGACATTTTTTCTGGAAAGAAAATAACTCACCAGATACAGAGAAAATCAATTATGCAAACTCTACTGAGTACAGTGGAATCTCGGGCATTATTAAAAATGTAAAGCAGCGTGGGACAGGAAATGAAAAACAAAGGAGTATGTCACCAAAAATTCCACCTCAGCTCAAACAATCTTTCAAATTCAACACTTACCAATCAAAAACACCTGGGAATTTAGTAATGAAACCAGCCTGGGAGAATAAGAAATCTCCTGAGAATCTAATTGGTATTGCAGACTTACATGCCCCAAATAGCAAGACATTTGACCTGAGTATTCCAAAGCATGAGGTATCTTTAAAAGAAGCTGTATCTGAACCTATGCAGAAGTTTCTTTCCTCTTCCAAAATGGAGTCAAAAGTACTTGAAGACCTGGAAAATACAGATAATGCTCATGTTCAGCTTTTGCAAGGAGAAAATTTCCTAACTAGCACATCAGAAATGCAAAGTTGCTTTCCAAATGGAAATATACAAGCACAAAAAGAGCATTTCAAAATTGCTGTGGAGTCTTCAGATACCAATTTGTCCATGTCCCTAAGAACCAAAAGGCATAAAAACAGCAGCAAACTAGCAGATGTAAAAATTCCGTTGAATACTGAAGATGTGATTCAGAAGGAAAAGAAACATGCAGACTATGATAACTTAAGTCTAGGTGAAGAAATGGAATGTGATGCTAGAAGCAACATGAAAAATATGGATGAGAAGGAAACAGCAGATACAAGTCAGAACGCCACTTACACTACCATTCCTGAGCCATCTCATTTGGAAGTGCCCAACAGGACAAAATCTGAGAAAAATACATCAGGAATAATAAAGCCGAGTCATTCAACACCAGAGCAAGAGAAATCTACAGATGAAAAGAAAAGATATGATGTCAAGTATATTGATAAGGAATTTATAAGAGACATGTTTAAAAATCTACAAAAATGGAACAGAGACCTTCAACAATGGAACAGAAAGAAACAAGAAACTTTGGAAGACCCAGAAACTCAGTCGACACAAGGTTTTACCATGAGCAATCAGCAACTCAAAAAGGTCAAATCTGAAATAGAAGCAGGCTCTTTAGAAACTGAAAAAAACCCAAAGAAAGAGCAAGCAAGAAGGGTACAAACACTTTGTACAAAAAGCATATCAGGGTCTGGTCCTTGCCCTGCAGGGGATCCACTTAAAGTTGAGCGGCTGATGCAAAGCACAAACAGACACGCAAGCAAAGGACATACTGCCGAGCCCAAGAATCCACTTGCATTGTCAGAAAATTTCTCAGTTCGTGAACTTTTAATTGATCCAACAAAGTGTGGTGTTGGATTTAATGGAAATCCTCGAAAGTCACCAGATGATCAGACTGCAAAAAAAGGAGAAATCTTCGAAAGAATTTTACCTAAGTTGCAAAATGAAGGGAGCAAAGAAACCCTACCAGGACTAGTTTCTCGTGATAGCTGCCATCTCAGATTCGATGCATGTCCAGTAAAGGAGCTAAAAATAGAAAAAGAAATGAACCAAAAAATTCCATTCACAGAAACCACTGTGGAGTCTACTTACTCCTCCATAATGAATGCATTTCCTGTCAAGAATATGCAGAAAAGCCCAACAGCACCTGCATATGTAAAATACACTGAAGATTCCAAGATTTACCCCTGGATGTTGGGAAAACCACCGACTGGGGAGCCTTTAAGCCAAACAAGGCAAAGCGATGTTCCAGATACTGGACCTCCTAAAAGAGAAATAGGTTACCATAGTTCAGATAAAACAGAATTACCTAAGGATTTACTAACAACTTTCCCTGAGACTTCTGATTTCTCCATACTGGGTTTATCTCACTCTAAAGGACAGAAACAAAGAAGAAGATTAGCACACAAGAAAAGAATACTGAGATCTAAATATGTACCAGTGAAGACAAGAAAGCTGCCGGTTTCACAGAAACGTATCATAGCATCTCATGGTTTTGGTCACAGAAAACAATTAGGATCCAACTTTAAGACCAAAGATAAGATGAAAAACCAAGGTGAAGAGTTGGTAGATGACTCTGCAAGTACCGTTTACTGTCCCATGCATGACAGATCAGAAGCAGAGATAAACAGGAGTTGTCTTGTTTGTTTAAAGCAAAGAGAACTAGCAGATAAAGAGCGATCAAAGCTTGCAGATTCCTTTGAGCAAAGTAATGTATTCATTGGTAGAGCAGAAAAAACACCGGATGGAGAGGAAGAAGAACAAAATGATTTACCAGCAACAACTCCCCAGCTGACCCAACACCTCAGGTCAGATGCATGTCAGATGAAGGAGATGCACCTGGCCTTGAACTATTTAACGCCAAAGATGCCTATTTATGGGGAAGATGCACAGTGCCAAACAGGTTTTCAACAAATGGTTTTGGAAGCTAGTCCCATAATGGATTCTAGAGAAGTTGAAGAATTACAGAAGCCCAACAAACCAGAATATGATGTCCAAGTTCCCCTGGGTCCAGAGTTTCCATCTCCTAAATCAGGAGAGTCCCAACTCAGTACACTTTTGGAGACTAGGACAGAGTGTTACTTACCACCTAGTGGAAACCATCAGAGGGAGAGAGATTCTTATTTTGTGGAAGGATATTCAGAGTTACCAAAGGATTTGCCGCTAACGCCCTCACAGTATTCTGATCCCCTAAAACCTTTTGTTTCTGAATCTAAAAGACAGAAACACACAGTAGCCAGGATGCCAACAGCTATGAGATGCAAATGTACAGTGATGAAGTCCAAAAAGCCAGCAGCTTTACGCCTGTTTAATGGAAGCTACAGTAAGCTCTGCCATCTTTCCATGAAGACTAAAAATCCACCACAAAGTAAAATTGTAGAAGATGTGCCCTTGGATGCTACCCACTCCACGGTGTCTATTTTGCCCAATAGCGAAAGGAGTAGCAGCTTGAACGAAACTGATGGGCAAATGAGATCGGTAGCAAGGCTTGCCCATAACCAGGTAAGCCAAGATAAAGCACCAGCTGGAAGAAAAATATGGCCCCTGGATTCTATTAATATGGGTAGTATATTCAGCCATATAAAATATGGAAAGGAAGAGGGAGAAAAGCATGATGTTTTACCAGCTCCAGAGGATAACCAACAGTTCCGGTATAGTGCAAATAAAGAAAAAGACCGTGGCCTTGTGAAATCAGAAGAGGAAGTGAACCAACTAGGAAGAACTCAAGTAGAAACACAATCTACACGAACTAATTTAGATTCCATTTCACACCCTACAGTGAGTACGTTTCCAATGGAAAACCTAGAGAAATGTACCAATATTTTTTTACCTCAAAAGTCAGAAGAGTCAATGGCTGAAGTCATACCTTCTGCAAGAAAGTATAGTGTCACATCTGTTGGAAATCATCCAAAGGGACAAGACAGTGATACTGAAAAGAAAAGGGCTGTGACTTGTGATGATGTCTGCATTCCTACTTCATCTGCACCCCAAAAGGAGAAAGACATCAAACCATTTTCAGACATGAAACCTTCAGTGACACCAAAACGTGTCATTGTAGAGGCAAAGAAGCCATTCAATTTGTACACATTCAATATCAAGGGTGATGCTAGCTCAGATCCTAGAAAAGAATTGAGAAGTAATTTGATAACAAAAATGAAAGAGACACAGCCAGATGAAAAAATGGTGGATAGTATAAGCCCCTTTATAACAATTATGCCTGACATTAGCATGCTCTGCAAAAAAGAAGAAAGAAGTATGTTAGGAGGAGAAAAACTCAGTTCTACAAAAGGAGAGCAAGGGATAAGGTCACATGAAGCAAATATTACTTGGGATGACACTAAAGAAACAAAGCAAGATGATGAAGAAGAAGAGCAGGAGCAGGAGGCATTAATAAATGTAATTCCACAGCATGGTCAACATTTCATATTCCATTCACAGCAAGAGAAGAAGCTTGACCTTCACAAAGCAGCAAAACGAAGAAGTAATAAAATCCTGTTTGTTACAGAACAAGATGTATCACCACAGATGCAGCCTTCAGATTCAGTTCCATTCGACGAAGCCGAGGAAATCCTCCAGAAGCAAATTGATGCAATACATGCAATGGGTTCAGTGCATCCTCCCCCAGCATCAGAGGGACCACAAAAAAGTGGTGAAGTATTCACTGATGCAATGAAATGTGACGCCTCGTCTGATACTAGCAAAAAGGAAAAGGCAGAATTAAATTGTCTACAACCAACTGTCCTGAAGTCGCTCAATTTTACTCATTCTGATCTACCTGAATCTGAAAGAAAGACAACTCAATGCATAGACTTAAAAAGGAAACTCAGTCTCCAGTGTGTAACTTTGAAGGCCAAGAAGGCACCAATTTCACATATACTTAATATTCCAAAATATGGTCCTCAAAAACCATCCCGAAAAACCCTCAAGTCACACACTGTTGAAGGTGGTGTTCACAAAGAAGACTCTGAGATCCCATCTGATGAAATTCACATAAGGGTTCCAGAAGATCCAAGTGCAAGGACAAAGGAAGAATCAGCACTAGAACTACTAAAAACCGTTTTGGAGTGTTTAGATGTCTCTGTTTTGGCTTTACTTGCATCTAAAAGAAATAGAAACTGTTTCCAACTCATAAACAAGAGAGAGGAAATGAGTTCCAAATGTCCCACTCTAAAGGTAAAGAGGGCACCGGTGTCCTGTGGCACATCAAACTATAAAAGGCAACTGGAACACAACTTCAAAGCCATGCTGAAACAAGGTACACTTACAGCAGATGTATTTGAAAAAGCCTTCTCTTCTCCTGTACTTGTTTCCCAAGGCATGAAAATACATAAAGAAGTAAAAGTAGAGGCAGATCTGCTGTGTGAAACAAAACCTCGTCATGAACTAGAACAGCAAGAACAAGAAGCATCTAGTGAAGAGAGAGCCTGGTGGATGGATTCCAGCCATAAGAAAGGCAGTATCTCACATGACACTAAAGAAGGCAAAGACCAAGGCAGGGAGGAAGAGAAGGCTGAACAGTTAATAGATGCAGTCCCATCGAATTCCCAATGCTTCAGCTTGAATGTTCACAAAATGGAAGAGCCTAACCTTCTGAAATCAGATCTGGGTCTGAAGCATTCAACAAGTGAAAAAAGCCCAGAATCACTCACTGTGCTTCAAGGGCGACAGCCAAAAACAGCTGTCACACAAAAACTATTAAAGGATATTTCTTTCTCTATTTTGGATTCATTCCCAGTTGAGATACTACAGAAAAGAGAAAAACCACAAGGAAGCTTAAAAAATATAAGGAGTCTCACGCCAGAGAAATCAATTAGTAAAGTTTTAAATGTTACAACAAAGGACAGCATACCCTTTGAAAGAGACCCTAGAAAGGAACTTGCTAGTTCTCATTCAGAGGAAAAGATAAAGTTACAAAGAGATTTACGAGTGAGAACTGCAGAGCCATTTGATTTTCCCATGCCTGTTTTATCAGAATCTAAAGGTCAGAAAAATATAACACAATTATCAGCACAGAAAGGTATAATGAGTACCAAATGTGAAACTTGGAAGTCACAAAAGCTACCATGTCCACAAATACTTAGTGTCACTAGACGTGGCCACCCAAAGCACGAAAAAAACCAGAGCAGCAACTCTGAAGTGAAGATGAAAGAGATGCAGCAAAGAAAAAGTTTGCCTGAAGGCTTTCTGAATGCCCATGCCTCTCCTGTTTTAACAGTTGTTAAAACTTGTAGCAGCATAGACACAGAGACTGATCCATTAAAAGAAGTAAGATCCAGTATTGAACCATATGCTTATTCCATGGATAAGAGCTCTACCGTAAATGACAGAGGAGCTGAAGTGCAGGAAAAGAAAGAGGATAAAGCTTTAGAAGGAACTTTACTATGCTGTACCCAACAAGCCACATCCTCTGGGTATCAACAGAAAATGTCAGACCTTGTTAAATGGGATGCAGATTTGAATAGGTCAGGGAACCAAAACAATCAAGAATTGGTTGTTACAGAGCAAATGGTGCCACCACAAACAACAATTTTAGAGACTTCTTCTAGCCCTCTAAAAGTTTTGTTTCCCGTCAAGATACCGGAAAAAACTAAAACACAAACACATATAGTAGATTCAAAGATTCCTTCTCGAACTTTAAGTGACTCATCAAACAGTGTACTTTTACACAATAAACCTGATAAACCGTGTGAGGTAATCCATAGATGGGAACTTGATGGTCACACTGTGGAAGGAAAAGCAGGCATGCCAGTCTTAGAGTCTTTTGATTTCTCTGGACCTATTTTACATGAATCCCAAGGCCAGAAGAAGACACCACATGCGTCCAGGGATGCACCTGTGGAGGCAGAGATGCAGCCAATATTGGAGATGATTAAAATGAGTAACTGCAGTGCTCTGAGCCAGAGAAAGGAACAACAATGCAAGTTTGAAACCATAGTCCAACATATAGCTGAAAGTATATCAAATATATTGATGAATTCCTATGTTTTATCCACATCTGTGTCAACTGGCATCAAAATGCATAACAAAGGAAAAGCAGAAAAAGATCTGTTAAGAGAAACAAACAACATTTCACAGTTAAAACAAGATGAAGAGAAAAGATTTTGTGTAAATTTCTCTGATAAATGGATTACTATCTCAAATAATACATCAGAAGCAAGACAGCAAGATGAAGAACCAAAAAAGAACAAAGATGGTTTATTCGACATAAGTCTGATGTTTCCGGAGGACAAAGGCAGTAGAAATGATCAAAATACATCTACTACAAAGCGAGAAGCACAGCAGCCCACACTGGTTTCAGAAAACACACTCCAGTGTAATTGTTTTCCTACGATGACCCCATTTCACAGTGAAAAGCTGAAGAACAACTATTCACCCCAAAACTGCATAGTATGTACCGAAGGGGCGAAGATTTTAAGACAAAACCTAGGAAAAGCGGTGGTCAGCCATCCTTCAATTAATAAAGCCAAGCATAGAACTATGTTCGCTGAGAACCCTACAAGTAACCTGAATTTCTGTAATGCAGTTTCTATGCAACCTGAGAGAGGAGAAGAAATCAGAAAACCTCACAACCTGATAAAATTCACAGCTAATAGAAATATTCTACCTGCCAAGTTGGGGAGTGCAGTGCTTAGAGACTCATGTGATGAAATAATTGCAAGGAAACCAAACAGTCATTTTGGCAAGATAAATGAAGGGTTACACAAAGATTTGATAACCGCAGCCATAGCATCTATTTTCTCTGACTCTGAAAAACAGAAAAAGGTATTACAATTTCCAAAAAGCAGAGATATTATCACTTCCAAGTATGTACCTATGAAGCCAAAGAGACATCTGTGTTCAAAGATGCTTAATATCACCAACAATTGCAAAATGCACTATAGGAAGAAACAGGAGCATAGTTTACAATCTAGCATAAAAGACATGCAGCAAAATGAAAGTATTCCACCTTTACTTTTGACTCTCACACCTGTTTCAACTGAAAAAAGTGTGGATATTAAAATGCCTAGTGGATCAAAAGTTGAGACAGATAAAAGGAAAGTAAGACTATACAATTTTGCTCACCTAGAATCAGAGCAATCAACACATGATGGAGAAGCATGGAAAGTTGAGTTGACCGATATGCAAAACACATCAAGCAACATAACGGAAGTGAACTTGCAACATGAAGAGGAAGAAAGAAACATGAGAGGGTCGCTAGCAGAATCCGTTTCATACTTAAGTTCCTTTGGTTGTCAGAAGAAAAACTGTGCCAGACAAGAATCTTACATGAATCGTTCAAAAGATGAGAAAACTCAGAATTTGTTTTGTGCAATTCCAAAGATGACGTCAAAAGAAAATTGTGAAAAAAGTGTGTTGGGTCCTTTCTGTAGAAACATGATGAATTTTCTTCAGGCCGAGCCCATGGAAGAAGGAGAAATAAAATTCATGGAAGATCTAAGGACATCATTTGCAAATGAAGGAAAATCAGAGCTTGGTTTAATGATGTATAATACTCCCTGGGATGTAACTCCTAGAAGGAAATGTCCTATTTCTGAGAAAAGGGCATTAAATAAAAAAGACTTATTACCAACAGTCTTCATTTCTTCGGATGTCTTCATCCTTGATCCATCTGAAGCTAAGAGACAGAGCCATCCAGAGATTGTAAGCAAGAAAGATATAATAGGTCCCAAACATGTAACTTTGAAGGCAAAGAAATTACCAGTTTCACAGTTTATGAATTTCACAAGATGTTATAGAGGATATTGTAGAAAAAAAACCCAGCACCAGTTTAGGTACACGGTAAAAGGAAGGCAACAGAATGCAGGTGTAGGGGAAGCGTCCCTCAGTGCCAGTCTACCTGGCAAGTCTGTGTCACTTGATGTGAAAACAGCTACTGAATCAAAAGTACTGAGGGACATCCCTGAAGTTGACATAACCAGTGATCACTGGTTAAAGCAAAATACATCATCAACTGAAGGAGAAGTTTGGCCTAAAGAGTCTATTGCAAATAAGTACGTGCTCAGAATCACAACAGAAGCAAAAGTGCAAGATGATAAGAAAGTGAAAATGGATCAAGACGCCTTAGCATATGAAGGTGGAGATACATTACAAATGCCAATTGTGAAAGAGAGAGGAAAAGTAGAAAAGCTCATCAAACATGGAGAAAATCCCAAGAGTTCATCTCTGAAACCAGAGAAAGCAATGATTAGAGAACTTCCAGGGGACACTTCAAAATGTACTGCTTATTATGATGAAAACTCCAAGATGAGTATGGACAGTCAGATTATTGAGGGAAAGTCAGGGTTTCAAAAAGGTTTACCAGAAGTTATCCTGGAGCTTTTTCGTTTGTCAATGCCTATTTTATCTGAACGTATAAAGCAGAGGCAACTAGTACAGCTACAAAATGTAAAAAGGACTGTGAGCTACAAACACTTAACTCTAAAGACAAAGAAGCTACCAATTCTACAGTCATTTCATACCACTTCTCCAAGCACTAGGAAGAACTTAAAGTGCAAATATAAATACAACACAAAACAAGCTTCACCAGTGAAATATGAGGCAGATGCCTCATATTGTTATTCTATGACTCTTCCATTGACCACTGATGTGGAGAAGAAGTTAAAAGCAGAGGTTGAAATGGAAAGCGAAACAATCAGTCTTACACAAATAAAGCAGAAAGAATCAGATGACAAGAAAACACGGGATACACATTCTAGTGATAAGAGGAGATCCTCAAGAGATGTAACCAAAAAAGCATTCGAAGAGAAAGAGTATCAAGAAATTATAGCAAAAGAAATTCCACCTTATATGCAATCGCTCATACCTGATTATTACCAAATCAAAAAACATGGTCTGGTCAAATTAAAAAATAGTTTTCCAGGAAAAAGAAACAATTGCAATTTTCCTGTGAAAGAGGGAGATGTGCAGCAGCAAACATCATTACCAGAAATGATTCTGGACTCCACTGCCTACCACATAATGAATCTATTTCAAGTCAAGAAGATGAAGGAGAGGCATCAAATGCAAAAAGTGACTGACAGTGTTAAGATTCCTCCTCCCAAGTTAGTAATTGACAAGCTTTCACTTGATACAATTGAGAGGGACATTGAGCCTAAGGGGACATATCCAAAAAATCTGGGAAGCCACATGGCAGAAGAAAAGACAGAGTTATTAGAACATTTAGAAACATCTTTCTTGAAGCCTTTAGATTTCTTCACACCTATTTTATGTGACTCTAAAAGTCAGATAAATCATGTTCAATTATCAGAAAAGAAAATTATCTTAAATCCTAAATGTCTAACTCTGAAGGAAAAGAAGTCACCATTTTCACAGATAATTAAAATCAGAAGACCACTGCCTTCAAAACATAGGGTGAAGTTGGCTTCCACTTTAAAACACAAAATGAAAGAAGTGTTGTCAGGTACAAATGCAGCTGACACATTTCCAAATAGCATTTACCTCACACTTGATACCTTGGCCATTAAAAAGCAAAGTAGGTTTAAAACAGACAGAGGCACAGGAACAGTGTCACGACCACCGCCATGCGTGGAATCACCACCTCAAGAGATATCAAGGCATTCAGATTCTGTTATGAAGGAAGATCCTGCAATCCTTTTAAAGGAAGCAAAGCTACATGATGAAGAAAGTGAGATACGGAAGAAAGAACATCTCATAAAAATGCACGCCGTGCCTACTAAAACTTTCATGGTAAATACATGTCTTGTAAAAGAACCTGACCCTGACAAATCAGAAAGTAACAATTCAGATGAATCCTTTCTGCCCAACATTGACATCAACAAAGAGAATTTAGGGAAAAATGTAGAATTAGAAAAAAGCAAAAACGCAACAGAGAATCTCAAAATGAGACACTTAAGCATGGAGAAATCAGAGGGTTATTCAGAACTGAGGCGATCTTCAGAGGATGTTGCACCTAGTCTAGTGGATAAGAAGATAATGAGAAATTCAGTTTTACAAGAAAAAGTTCAACATGGTAAGTTAGCAGCGATTATTCTAGATTCCTTTAGCAGGCACTTGCCTACCTTACAAAAAATAAAAAGACAGAATGATATCCTAAAAATAGCTAGCCTGTCAAGTGCGAGCTCCAAAAGTGGACATTTGAGGGGAAAGCAATCACTTGCTACCAAAAGTCATGGTACTCAAAACCCTAAGAAGAAGCAGGAACATAATTTTAAAGGCCAGAACAAAGAAGGTGAGAAAGAAACAGCTGTACCTGGGACATTGCTACATTCTGTGTGTCCTTCAATGTTTACATCACCTAACATGGAAATGGAGCAGTCACCTGGTTTGTGGGGTATCTGTTCAAAATCTTCTGATGAGAGCAATGTCTTAACTAAAGCAAAAGTTCAAGAGAGAGAAAAGTGTGACCAACAAGTTTTACATAGAACAGCGTCACAGTATACTCAGACATTTGGGACAGGTCAAAAGAAAGAGATTGGTCCTTTCAAATTCGACGTGCCCTACATTAATACAGTATGCCCCAAAGGCATCACTCCACAGAAAACAGAAATTGATTTAAAAGAACAACAGAGGAAGATAAAATTTGTGAATGAGATTAGTCCAAAGTCTGGTTTTTCCTCTGAGATATGCCTTCTTCAAACTGAGCAGCAGAAGATGGAATCTGAAACTGCATGCTGTCAAATTAAAGAAGATCCAAAGGCTAAGAAATTAATCACTGATACACATTTTTTAAATACAATAGGGTATGGTGGTTCATTACAACACAGAGAAGAAAAAGAAGGGAAAAGCCATCTTACCCTGAAAAAGAAACAACAAAACCCAGATATCTTGGGAAATAACTGGGATTCTGTTTATGCCAACACACCTCTGTATTCTGAAATGACAAGCCCAATAGATAAAGCAAAAATGGCAGATGTGAAAAACATTATGCATAACGAACAAATGAAACTGAAAACAAAGAAAGCACCACTTTTCCATCTGCTTAATATTACTAAGCATGACATGAAAGAGAGTAACAACAGACTGAGATATCATAAACAGGAGAAATTATCACAGAAGGGTGAACATGTCACAAATTTAGTTCGGAAAGTCATCCATGAGTCTGAGTGCCTAACTTCTCAAGCTCAAAAGCTCATAGAAACAATAAAAACTGAGAGAGACAAATGTAAAGAGGAGGTGCACATTTTTCCACAGCGAAAGCTAGAGAAACCCCTAAATGGAAGGCAAGCTTTATCTTCAGGGTCTGCTAATACATCCAACAACAATAAAACCACATCCCAACAGTTGAGACCCAACATCCACCAAATAAAGCAGTGCCGTCGGGTCAAAGTAGACTTGCAAAGAAGGATGTGCTCAGAACCAGTTTCACAGCAAAGAGCATTCAATTCTGCTGCCCTTGATAGCCAAGGGAGTAGAAGAGGAAGAGAGGTCTTTGTTCCAGGGCAAGAGGCACAGCAGCAGAATTCTTTTCTCCAGCAAGAAATGCAGAAACTAGAAATAGTGCCCAACACCAATCTGGATTCTATTCCTTGCCCCACGAAAGAAACTTTTAATTTGAAAAACATAGTAGAAATCAGACCAAAACAATTCTCAATTCCACAGAAAAAAGACTCAATGCTGACCAATAGTCTATCATGTTTCGGAGATATGCAGTTTCTTATTTCAGGAGTAAAGACCCAGCAACAGAAGCCTTTCACAGGAAGTATTCTGGAGCCCAGGTCCTCTCACGTATGGGCTCAACTTTACATTGAAAAGCCAAAGGAAGAAATAAATACAAAACCTCTCATTTTAAAGAGTTCAGGACAACAGGCAGAAGAAATATCCAATGAAGCGTTTATGTCAAGTACGGATGATAGGTCAAGAATTATAGAAACACTAGTCCTGCTTATTAAAGAACAAGAGAAGAGGAGGAAAAAGATTCGAAAGAAGAAAAAATGTAAAATAGCAGTTATAAAAGCAAAGGTGAATTTCAGTCCAGTGGTGGAGTATTCATCAGCTGGAGCACCTGTTATTAATACGCAAGAACATACTGGCACATTAAAGCAAAAAGATGGAAGGGAATTGAACAGGCTTGTGGCCCCACAAAGGAGACAAGATGGCTTATGGGGTCCAGGGATGTTCCTGTATCCTGTTTCTATAAATGGACTTATTTCTCTTGAAGCTATTGGCCATGAAGATAAAAGACTAGGTACAGTGAAATGTACCATGTATCCCAAAAAGGTGAAAATGAAGGCAAAGAAAACTCTTGTTTTCCAGCTACTTTATGTTACAGGGTCTGGAATCCAAAGTGCTAAAAAGGAGTTGAGATTTAGCATGAAGAGACAGCAGAAGGAGTCCCAGCAGAGAGAAAATGCTGCAGATGTCATTCTGAAAATGACCTATGATTTTGAATATGTTCCTTCACACATTAAGAAACTGAAGAAAGTGATAAGGGAAAATGGTAAGAAGAAAAACTTGATGCTCTTTACTCCACCACTAAAAGAGAAGAGCTCACTAGCTGAAAGAAAAATTCTACCTTCAGAGCCAATTTATAAGAGTGACATATTACACATGATTAAAAAAGCAAAACAGCATATCGGAAAGCAAAAAGGGAAAAACCAAACTCTTCTCCTGAACATTCTCCCACCACTTAGACATGGGTTCATGATTAGCAAACTGAAGAGGAGGTCCAACCCTGTCAAATTAGCTGCAGATTTGGAAGGAAAGGGATATCCTAATCCAGCTTCACAAAAAAGGGAAAGCAATTATGCTTTTTTTGATGACCCAAATATAGAACTTGATGTCCTCAACAAACAAAAAGTAAAGGAAAATGATGCAGACATTGCCAAACAAATCTATGTGGTACCACGTGCAAGAGAAGGAGCAGAGAAAAGTGTTATCTTTTTAAATTCAAAAGAACAGGATATGCCTTCCACAGAGATGGACACTTCTCAAGATAAGTCTTGCAAGGAGCAAGAATTGTTCAAGAAAGAATGTGTTTCAGCAGCAAATCTAAAGGCTGTTACTTGTCCCTCTTGGCAACCTCTTCCTTTTGAAAACATCGAACAGGTAACTAAGGAAGAACGTGTATACACTAACAGAAGAGATATTTTCCAACCCTTGGGAAATAAAGGATCAAAGGACACAGACAGTTTACCTGGTTCAAAAGGACAGTACTTTTTGGATACAAATGTAGGTGTCCATCAAAAAATATCCGTAGTTCAGGAAGAAGTGGTGAAATCAGATCACCTTCCTGAAAAGAGTTTTAACTCTGTGTCTTTTCCCAGTCAGGAGCTCCATCGTTTAAAACAGGCAATAAAAGCAAAAGAGAGAGAGAATGTTAGCATCTCCAGAAACATAAATGTAGATCCAAGGCAAAAAGAAAGATTCAAGTTAACCAACATTTCCCTGAACTCAAATAGCCAGAAAAGGAACTTTTCAAAAACACTGGGGGCAAAGTCACCAAACCTTCCCAGAGACAGTACTCTGCAATCAGTTTCCTCTGACCAATTGGATACGTTTTGTTTCAAAAAGCTAGAGGAAAAAGTACCAACTAAAGAAACGGGCTCAGAAGTTTTGAGTCCAAAGTTAGGGCAAACACTAAGCATATCAGCTATTCCAGTGGCTCAGCCTCTGTGCAATGCAGGAAATAATTTGCATAACAGAAGAGAAGACTATCAACAATGTACCTGCAGACCACATCCAATGCCTATTTCTCCCTCTTCAGTGGACACCCATCAGATTAAAGCACCATATATAACAAACTCAATGGCAGAAGATAGTAGAGTGTATCACATCTCAAATACAGAAGAAATTGGTTTCCTGGTTGCTGAAAAGGAAGAAGAGCAATCAGAAAATATACATCAACTTTCCCCAAAGCCATCTTCTGACTCATTGATAGCTACACTTCAAAATCAGATACCATATGTAAAGAATGTATTGGAAGAAATTCTCTGCATGGTGGATTGTACTTCAACTGTAGAGGGAACTGGCTTGCTCTATGAAAGAAAGGTGGAAAGGCAAACAGAAAGCATATACCAGACTTGCGCAAAGCCAGCTTCTAAATCTTCTACAGATAAATTTAAAAATCAGATATCGAAAGAAGTAACTAGTATCTTAGATCACACTTTGAATACAGAAGAAATTGGAAAAAGGCAATCAAAGAGTGTGAAAATCATTATTCCAAAATCAGTTTACCACCACCCTGGGAAGGATAGAGCTCAAAATCAGACATCATGTACAAAGAAAGCTTCAGGAGAAAGAAATAGTGTCATGTCATACAAGCCAAATACAGAAGGAATTGTAATTCTTCCCAAAAATCAAGAAAAGAAGGCACAGAAATGCAATGATGAGCCAGATGTGGCTCTAACTAAACCTTCTGCTGCATTACCATCTCGACCTCCCATCAAACTGGATAAAGAAATACAATTGGATGAGGAAATTTTCAAAATCACAGACTCTGTTTCGCATACAATATCAAATACGAGGGAAATAAGATATACAAAATCAATCCATGGTGATATCACTAAAGATATTAAAAATGCAACACAAAATATGCCTCAGGAAGAGAAGAGGGACAGAGAAGAAGCAGTAGATGTAAGAGAAACAAAACATCCCATTGCTATAACACGGAAGACACAGAAATCACCTCCTTCAAATATGCTGCATAGAACAGAACTATATCTGAACATTAGAAGTCAAAGGAAAAACAAACAGGAGACTCAAGCTAAACCATCACATATAGTTTTAAGAAAAATGCCTACTTCTGAGCCTTCTCCCCCTGACTCAAAAGTAGATAAAGGTACACAAGTAGATAAAGAAATGCTAGAAATTAGAAAATCCCTTCAACTGCCACTAATACCTTCAGCATCACCGTCTGGAAAGAAAAGAGGAAAAATACAAGCAACTGATGGTACCAGAGAAAAGGAAAAAGAGTACACAGCCCAGCAAGCAGCGTACAAGCTGAAAGCAACAGAAATGGGGATGAAGATGCATTGCAAATCACCAAAGACTTCACCAATTTTACATATGCTTAACACAAGGGAATTAGTGGTAAATATTAGACAAGCTGAAGGAAATGGGCACAAAGGTAAAGGTGAACAATGTGTCATTCTGACAAAAACACTCCTTTCCAGACCCCTTTCTCTGGATTCAGGAAGCAAAATGCCCTTCGACACACCTAAAATTACTGAAGTCTCTCTTCCACTGCAAAATCATCAGGAATCATCAGATACCCAGAAGCTTGCAAAGAGAAAACCAGTTGATGGTGATAGTCAAAGCAGCTTGGAAAAAATAGATCACCAGGCACCACAAGAAGAACCCATGCAGCAGTGTACCTTAAATTTTCTGATTGGTGTACAGCAGAGCAAGGAGTGTCTCCGGGTCAAATCAAAAGGAAATCTCAATCAGTTCATCTCAAATTCTCAGAAGGGCCTGTATTTCACAGGAGTAGGTTCTATTAGAAGCAGGAAAAGTCTAGGATGGCTCTATACAGAGGAAAAGCCTCGGCCACAAAATTACAAAACAGAGACACGTTCTTCGTATCTTTCCTGTCCCACAATAGGTCCTAATAAAATTGGAAATCTGAAGGAAGGAACTGACACAATGAACAACTTCAGCCATAAAATGCATCCAAAGGTTTGGGGGCCACTGTCAAGGGAAATATCTAGCACCCCTATATATTCAAAAGGACAAGGATTGTCTGCCTCAAAGCAAGACATATTCTCAAAAGCAACATCAGAATCTGTAGATTCTTATAAATTTCTTAAGCCCAAATGGCATGTGCACAGTAACAATAAAAGAAGCAAAATGTTTTCCCACGTTCCAGCATCCTCAAAAACAGAGTCATCTGAGAAAATGCACGTTAGAGAGATGACTATTCCCCAGAATATAGAAGAAGAAATGACAAAGCAAGCTGTACCGCAGTCCAAGAGTGAACACCAGAACATGACCAACTCCATCATTTCTCTTAAATTTTCTCTTCAAATTGGAAAGCAAAAGACAGTGTTGGAAACAGATTTAGAGAGGAAAACAGTGCTTCCCCGCAGAGGACTAAGACTACCAGATACACAGGACCTCACACAGGTTGCTGAAACAGCTGGGGAGGAGTCAGCATGGCTTGCTTCTGAGCTAGTGAAATGTATTCTGGAATTGTTTCAGAAATCTCTTATTCCCCATTTGGATCTTTTACTTCATTCTAGAGATATGGAGGGAGAAAGTGGCAATGACACAAGCACTACTATAAATATGGAACAGAAAATATTAGAAATGGACAATAAGAGTACTGTAAGTCAGGTAGAAGAAACCGTCAACATAGATAGAAGCAACACGGTACATCCAAAAAAGGGAACACTAAAAGTCCCCAAGAACAGAAACATTGTGGATCTACAGAAAGATAAAATGAAACTGGGCACAAGTCATACTGGAAATATGGATACTCCATCTCTAAAGGCAGAAGGATCCCAAATGAAGACTAAAGCAGTCGTTCGTTTTGTTGACAACCGGCCAATCAAGCAGACAGATGAAACGGAATTGACAGCGTGGAACGCAAAGCACAACACTGAGCCACGGAAGGATTCTAAAAAACCTGTTCTGGATTCATGCGATTCCTTTGTTCCTTTTTCTACCAAATGTGAAAGTCATAAAGGTAGATTAACAATAAGAGATATGACAAGAGGACTGAAGCCCAACTATTCAAGAACAAATGCCCGGTGTCACCCAGTTTCACAGAGGCTTAGTACCATAGGGCGTAGTGCTGCAAAGAATAGAAAGAAGTTAGAGTATAACCTTGACAAACAAAAGCAAATGACCTTGTGGTATAGAGATATCCTAGAAATTGTCATCCGAAGTCTCTCTATTTCTATGGCCAGTCCACCTCACGTTAAAGAGGCAGGAAAATCTGCAAAAAACCTAAAAAGGGTACGAGGACACTATCTTTTTAAATCCCAGGAGAAATCACCAAATGCTGGTAAAATTGGCACCTCAAGCACTTCAAAAGTAGGAGAACAGAATTCTACAAAAAAGATCCCAGGACAGTGCCAGCCATTTACGGGTGCTGAAGAGCCATACAAGACATTTCTTAGTGCTGATTTAAAACCAAAACTATATGATGAAATAAGCAAAACAAATTTCACTCTGCAACCAGAACAGGTTATTCCAGTGCATGGTGCTTTGAAAATTATAAAGGAACCTGACTTGCAAGAACCAAAAGAATACATGGATACACACATAAATAGCACCACATGTATGAATACTTCACCTCTAGACATAGGAAAATCACAAAGTGGGAAGCATGTATTTGATATCGAGAGGCGCACTTCATCACCCAAGCAAACAGATCCAAAAGAACCAGTACAGGTTATGACACAAAAGGTGGAGCAACAAAAGGCTTTATCAGATACTATTCCAGTATGTATGCATGCCCACGTGCCTATACCATCCCAAATGAAAAGTAATGATATAAAAACATGGGCAGAAAGTACAGGCACAGAAAGTTCACCTCCTGTTTATGAAGACAGTGAAAATGTTCTTGTAACCCAGGGAGAAAATGTGATGGCTGAAAGGAATCAACCACGTGGAAACCAAGGAGGCAAAGCTTTAGAGAAACAAGCATTTGCTTGTATGAAGATCAAAGACCAAATTTCTGTTCATCAGCTGGAGAAAGTGCGAGACTATATACCTGATGACTTAAAGTCACCATTTCCAAAAAGACACCCCGAATTGCAGTCAAAACCCTTCTCAGCTTTTACTTCTGAAGAAAAAAATAAACTCACTAATCACGTAGGGTCAAAAGGACTTGAAATAAAAAGGAGTCTGCTACCAGAAATTGTAAATAAATCCTTCCAATACTTCAACACTTACTCAAAACAATCTATTTCAGAAGAAGGCAGCAGTTTGGGCATGTACACAAAACCTAAAACAGTGTGTTTTGTATCTCTAGAAGGCATTGATACAATAGAACTTAATTTAAAACAAAAAAATTCCCCTATCAATCGTATGAAAACATTGACTGTTAATGTTCCAAGATGCAATGAGGAGACACTAAAGTTAAAGAATACTGATAAGGTATTATTAAGTGAGAAATCTTCAAAGACTCCTGCTGATAATACAAAGCTGTCACATCATATTCTTCAGAACTTTTTAGAAGAAGAAAAAGCCAAATTTCTCAGACATTTTTCTACAAAAGCATGGGAGATTCAAATACAAACTTTCCCCAGAGTTGTAATAGAATCCTTTGCAGTGGCCAATGGCCGTGACCAAGCAAAACATTTATCACAATGTATTCATTCTGGTATCAAATCATCAAATGAAATTTTGTTATTTTTTGAGGAAAAATGTCTTCATAAAATAGATCTTGACTTGCAATACAAATACCTTTGTTTCCTTCTCGGGCTCACTGCAGAAAGTATTCCCCCTAAGAGAAAAGCTTTATCCAACCATGAACTAAACATAAGGACAATGTGTGGAAAAGTAGATGATGTTGGGAAAAGTTGTGATCATCCTGTTGATACAGAACAGTTTGAAGATCAGATCTCTTTGAAAAAGCCAAGTCCTCATAGAAGCTCATCACTTACCACCTTATGCCCAGAGCCAACCCAGATGGGTACTTCTGATTCTGATCTAACCAGCCCAGTGGTAAAAGATCCAAGTGTTGCTTCTAAATCAAAATCTCATGTGACTCCAGAAAAAGATAAAGAATGTAATTTTTCGTTTGAAAAAGCAAATAAATACAAATCCTTTGACTTAATGACTCAGGAATATATTAGTTTAACTGATGGAAGTTCAGTGCACATTTCTGAAAGTGGTACGGAGATTCAGTCATATGTGGAAAGCGTAGCCAAATTTGAGAAATGTCCATCTCTTAAAGTATATGAAAGCAAGGAATATGTATATTTTGATTCCAGTCCTTATTTATGTTTGGAGCCAGAAAGTTTTTTAGTTGAACCACAGGAAGGCATTCCTTTGGGAACCCTCTGCCAGATGAAAAACAACAAAACAGATTCGAAACAATTTTACGGTGCTGATACAGGTTCCCAGGATATTAGAGGTAGAAAAGACATCTTAACTGTGCCATCACCTCACTATAAGCCTTACAAGAACAAAAACTATAGCGCATCCTCCAAAAGGGATTCTTCTGGTTGGTTTTTGCATGATTCACCAAACACTACAAAAATTCAATCTGTGGCATCTGTACCATTCGGTGAAGAGACACTTTCATGGACCACAAGAAACAAAACAAGCCACTCGTTAGCTCCTTTAATAGAATCAAATATCCAATTGCACCTTGCAGAAAATCAAGGCAAGCATCACGTGCGTTCAGGAAGCAAAGGAAGAAAGAAGCCAGAATTTGGTGCACCGAGAAAGAACATTGTTCATTGGAAAGACGATTACAGTTACACAATGAGTAAAGAGAAAAGGTTAAGAAACAAGAAAATGTATGAGTTTGAAAGCTCAAAATGGCACTTTCAGGACAGACATACATCACCATCAACTGCTCAACAAAAGTATACCAAGTTGCATCCTGCAACAAAACAAAGCAGGCCTTTTTTTTATGCCTGCACACCAGCCGATTCGCTGGAGATAATTCCCCACACCATTCGCTGGCCAGTTCCGACTAAAATCTTAAATAAGAGAAACTTCAGAATTCCCCTGGTGGCAAAGATGTCAAATTCTTGGAAAATCCTAAATTTGTCCAGAAAATGGTTGGGGTCATTCACAGTCCTTTAGCACAATTCCAGTTGTTCATAAGTGATACTACCATATATAGATTTTTCTTATATGGATTGCTGGTTGCTACTGGAATATTCTGTGAGAAATAAAATAATCTAAAGTAAAATTCTTTCCTGATTGTTTTCTAAGATGACATATTTTATTTCTGCAATGTTACTGTTTTTACTAGCCATCGAGTTGCCTGCCACGCATAGCGACCCTATGCTTAACAGCTCTGAAGCTGGCCCTATACTGAGCCGGGCTCACTGACTGATACACCTACTCCCATTGTCCCAGTAACTGTATCAATTAATCTTATCTGGGGTCTTCCTGTCCTGCACTGTCCCTAGCATGCATGATGTCCTTCTCCAAGGACCAGTCCCTTCTGGCCACATGCTCAAAGTGTGTGAGATAGAGCTTCAAAATCCTAGCCTCCAAGGAGAAACTTGGTTTCACCTCTCCAAGACAGACATGTTTGTTTTCTTGGAGGTCCATGGTATTTTCAAGACTCTTCTCCAGCACCACAACTCAGAGGTATTGAATGTTTTTCTGTTATCCTTAGTCATGGTGCAGCTCTCTGGTGCATAGCAAGTAATTGCTAAGACCATGACCTGCATCAAGCACACCTTAGTCTCTAGACTGACAGTTGCCTTTTGCACTAGACTTATGTAGTTGTTCTGGGAGGTGAGGATAGGGATTTGGGTCTTACCGTTCACAAGCTCTTCTTTTAGTTTGGACTGCCTCCTCATAAGTCTAAGAAAGGACCTCCCACTTCATTCTACACTCATGACTAAATGGTTTGTAAGGGGAATTGTGGCCAAAAAAACTGAGACTGAGTCAGACTGGATAGAGAGTTAAGAATGCAAGGATGGTGGGCTGCCCTCGGCCCCCTGCCCGGGGTGAGCCGTCGCGGCCCTCTGCCTGGGGCGGGCTGCCCTCGGCCCCCTGCTCGGGACGAGCCATTGTGGCCCTCTGCCCGGGGCGGGCTGCCCTCGGCCCCCTGCCCGGGGTGGGCTGTGCTTGGCCCCTGGCTCAGGGCGAACCGTCGTGGCCCTCAGGAACAAGAAGGCAAGCAGCTGTAACCCAAGACCACCAGTAAGGTGATAAAGCGTCCTCCCTTCCCCCCCCCTTTATATCTACGCCCCTGTTCAGCATGAAGAAGCCAGAGAGTCGGCTTCCAATTCCCAAATCAATAAGACAGTTGGTTTAATTACTATTGGAAAATGCTTGTCATTCCTCTGTAGCATCTGGTCCCCACTGGACCCTCATCATTTCCTTCACCTGCTCCCCCCACCGACCAAACTGTGCAGCTCTGCAACTGCATCCTAGCTCATCCTCACCCTTCTGCCCCCAACCCTCACCTCCTTGTACCCCCAATATGTTTTTCCCAATAAAAAAATATTTAAAAAAAGAATGCAAGGACACAGAAATAGGAAAAAAAAGGGGGGGCAGTATCTCAAGAAGACATGAGAGCTCAATAATATAAAATGACACAAAACACTGAGGTAAGTGCTGAGTTATGCCTACATGGTTTGACAATTAGGCTAAGTATTTCAGTACTTCTAATTTGAAGGAATTTTTAATATACAAAAAAGAAAGACAAAGTAGTATAACAGGGCTCTGTACCCATCTTCTTATCTCCAGATGTGAGACTGTAGCCAGACCTAGACCTTCCTTACCTACTTCCTATCCATTTTTACATTAGTATTTTAAAGCAAATCCCAGAATATGAACTGGAATTGGAGGATAAAGAGGGAAGAACTCGCTCTACATTTCTCAATCTGAAAGAACTAAAAACCAAATTTAAGCCTTGTGTTGCAATGTTGAAAGATGATAAGAGCAATGTATTGAATGACCCAGAAAGAATCAAAAGAAGATGGAGGGAATATACAGAGTCACCGTACCAGAAAGAATTGATTGATACTGAAAAATTTCAGGAAGTACCATATGAACACAAGCCAATGGTAATGAAAGAGGAAATTGAAGCTGCATTGAAGGCATTGGCAAAAATAAAAAAAAATAAGGCTCCAGGAATCAATGACATACCAATTGACTTGTTTCAATTAACAGATGCAGCCTTGCATGCACTCACCAGTCTAGGCCAGGAAATTTGGAGGATGGCCATCAGGCTAGTGGATTTAAAGAGGTCCATATTTTTTCCCATTCCCAAGAAGGGTGATCCAATTGAATGTGGATGTTATGGGACAGTATCATTGATATCACATGCAAACAAAATATTGTTGAAGGTTATTTTAAAATGGCTGCAATAAGTATATAGATAGGGAATTTCCAGAAGTTTAAGTGGGATTTAAAAGAGGCCATGGCACCATGGATATCATTGCTGATGTCAGATAGATATGGCTGAAAGTAAGGAATACTAGAAGAATGTATATTTGTGCTTTATTGACTATACAAAGACATTTGATTGTGTGGATCATGACAAGTTGTGACTGACATCAAGAAAAATGGGAATCCCAGAGCACTTGATAGTGCTCATGAGGAACCTATACCTGGATCAAGAGGCAAATGGCGCAGGGGAGCACTACATGGTTTGAAATTGGGAAGAGAGTGTGTCAGGGTTGTATTCCATTTCCATACCTTTTCCATCTATATGCTGAGCCAATCATCCGAAAAGCTGGTCTCTATGAAGAGGAGTGTGGTATCAGGATTGGAGGAAGACTCATCAATAACCTGTGTTATGCAGATGACACAACCTTCTTTGCTGAAAGTGAGGAGGACTTGAAGCACTTCTTGCAGAAGATCAAGGAATGAAGCCGTCAGTATGGACTGCCTCTCAATATCAAGAAAATAGATTCTTACCACTGGACCAATAGGCAAAATCATGATGGACAGAAAGTAGATTGAAATTGTCAACAGCTTCATCTTGTTTGGATGTGTGATTAACACACTTAGTATGAGCAGTGAGGAAGTAAGGAGACACATTGTTTTTGTTTTTGTTAAGTGCCGTCGAGTCCCAGGCAACTCATAGCGACCCTATGAAGGAGAGTCCTTGACACTTGGGTGCCTTTCATCCTCTCTCCAAGTTCATAGGGTTTCCAGAGGCAAGCTATTATGGAAGTGGACGCCACTCCTCCTTCCACGCTTGTTCAATTGGGGAGCTCCACCCCAATCTCAGTCTGCATTGGGTAGCCAACCATTAACGCATTTGACACATCTGTGTCACAGAAGGAGACACATTACATTGGGAAAATCTGCAGCTAGGGACCTTTCCAAATTATTGAGAAGGAGTGATGTCCGTTAGAGGACTAAGGTGTGTCTGATTCAGGCCATCATCTTTCTTTCCAATTACTAGCTATGCATCCAAGATCTGGACAATGAATAAGGATAACAGAAAAATAATTTATGCCTTTAAGCTGTGGTGTTGGAGAAGAGCACTGAACATCCCGTGGATGTCCAAGAGAACAAACAGATATGTCTTGGAAAAGGTGCAGCCAGATTGCTCTTTGGAGGCAAGAATGATGAAGCTTCGCCTCACATACTTTGGACATATTGGTATGATTCCTTGGAGAAAGACATGATGTTGGGAAGGGTGAAGAGTTGACAAAGAAGAGGAAGACACTCAACTAACCAGGTGTATTGACATGGTGATTACTGCAATTTTGTGTCAGGAAGTGTAAGGATATCACAGGACAGGACTGGGTTCAGTTCTTTTGTTCATAGGGTCATTATGAGTCATACTTGACTTAACGGCACCTAACAACAACAACAACAACCCAGGTAAGCAGACTGTAAATGTTCTATTGCCTACAACAACGTTTTCATTTAACAATAATACCAGGATCACATCTAAAATAATTTCATAATATCAGCAATTTCCAATTATCTTACGAATGCTGATTTTTTAGTCATCTGAATTGAGATACAAAGAAAGTCACTTTGTGTTGCTTCTGTTAGGTTTCTTTACATCTATATGTTTCCACTCCTATTGTTTTTCCCCTCTAGCAATTTTTCATTGGAAGCAGGAGTGGCATTCACTTCAGCAATGTTTTCAAATTAGAGAAACTAAGTTATTGTTCTATTGTAATCAGCATTTTGCCCTGGTGGCCTAGAGGTAAGAAGCTGTGCTGCAAACCTAAAGGTACTCAGTTCAAATCCACCAGCTATTCCACTGAAGAAGAATGAGAAGTCTCCTCCTGAGCAATTTACTGTCTTTGAAAACCCTCTTGAGAATCAGCTATCGATCAGTTTGACTCAATGATACACAACAGCATCCCTATAGCAGGTTGAAATGTAATTTTGGATTCCTAATAGTTCCTTAAAATGGCTATTAGAAAGTGGCATAATGTTTAAAATACATGCAGTATAATATTCCAAAAATATTATCTGTCACACATGTAATAGGAATTAGAGCTGTTAGAAATATCCAAATGTCTTACTCTAAATGACAGGGAGGGATGTGGGTCTAGTTCTTACACTACAGATACTACCACTATGTCATCAAATGCTTTTATCAAAAGGAACTTAATTCTAATCTTATGTAATTCAGGGAAAGCAAGATAGAAATAATGATTATATTGAACAGTCTCCATATGCTTTAATATTGTTGTTGTTATGTGCCATCAAATCGCTTGTGACTCATAGTGACCCTAAGTAAAAGAGCACCAAACCCTTCTCTATCCTGTGCCAACCTCATCGTCTCTGACACACTTACTCCTGCTACCCTAATCACAGAATTAATCCATCCCATTGAGGGTCTTCCTCTCCTGCTCTGTCCCTCCCCTCTCCCAAACATGATGTCCCTCTTCAAAGACTGGTCTCTCCTTGCAATATGCTCAAAGTATGGCAGAGAAAGCTTCAGAATCCTTGACTCCAAGGAGTTGTCTGGCTTCATCCTCTCCAGGACAAACCTGTTTGTTCTTCTAGCAGTCCATGGTATATTCAACACTCTTCTTCAGCACCACAGCTCAAAGTTATTTTGCAAATCCCACTTGGCCAACTGGAAGAGATCTATATTTGTTCCCATTCCAAAGAAGGGTGACACACAGAGTGTGGAAACT